ATATTAGGGAGAATTATATTAGTATATATTGCTGTATGTATAACTTGACTGCTATAATAATTGAATAAAACTACTTTTACGGATTTTATCACGTTGAATTGCACTTTATTAAAATAAAAAATATAAGTAAATATGGACTTCAAAAAAATATTTCACATAATAACTTCAGACCATGTACGAGTAGAGCCAGTGTAAGATCCATTAATAGCGGACCACTACCGACCCCATATCATTATGAATTTCGTCCAATGAAGAGAACCCGGTCTCTTTTTATTACAAACGAGGCATTCCGTTATTCCTCAGGGGTGAGAACGCATCTGCATTTGATTCTCAACCGAGGATAAATGTTGATGTGTATGCTACAGCATCCACATACCATCTGGACTGTGTGTTCGCTTGCCACCCTTAAGATAAACCTGCGAAACTGTAACAGTCAGAATGCGCAAATTGTTGTAAACAACGAAAATGCTCATGAGATTTTAACAACACAATTTTCAACATTACGTAAAAAGTCAGATGTTAATTTATGATCACGAAGAAAACGTCCGACTCTCTAAACACACCATACGAAACCCAGCAGCATTCAGCTGCTATTTTACGCTGGTATTCTATGAGAATGTGGTTTAGCTGATCCATTCCTTCTACACCCATAGTATCGCATGGCTGTATCACGAATATATTATATGCTTGAATTATATGCTTTAAAGCTAGTTTTTGCAATACTATAACACAAAATACAATTTGCCTAGTTATCTAAGTATTCTAATAAAACTAGGTACGATCCGATTGCTTCTTTCGTATTGATTCTAATTTCGTAATCAAGCCGGAACGCAACAATATTATCCGCACATCATATCAAGCTAAGTCAAGTTCAAAAACTTTGTTAAGTGATGATTGTTTAAAAATGATTATTATAATATTAACTTTTTCCCTGTCCGCGGAAAAGACTATTAAACTATCGAAATGTCTACGTATGACTCACGGGACAGTGCGATGGTTAAGGATTTTATGAATGTTAATAGTCCCTGTTGTTTAGGTGATCGCCATCACGGTATTTCTAATATGATTTATATTAATTGTGTAACATAATGATTGTAAACTATTTTTTAATGTCTCGTTGGGTTCTGGTCACAGAACAGAGATATTTTTCACACTAATGGTAAATTTAATATAAGGCTCGATTTACATTACGGCGGAATGGAAATGGAACCGAAGCGTCAATTTGAGCACAAACAATAACGCCCGCGAATTGCTGGAGCATTCCCACGACTTCGCATTCGGGCTGTACGACAGTCGTCTTGGGGCTGTAGAAAAGTTAGTCTAGATTCCTCGCCCTTCGCGTCACTTCCCACAAATTCCACAAACTTTGCAGCTACGGGAATTTGCGAGAATTTCCCAGAAAGAAGCCCGACTTCTTTTTTGGCTCATATCTAGTTTGCGCGTTACACAATTAAAATAAGACTCATTTTACTATGTTCAATTTCGTTATAAAAATTCGCTTCCATTCCGTTCCGCAGCAGTGTACATTGAGCCTCTAAGTGTGACACAGAAATCCATTTCCATTTCTATCTTAACTGATTAAGTGTAGATTACAGTAACATGCGAGCCGTGTGGGTTTCGCTTATCTATAGGATTAGCGATAGATTGGCGATAGAGGTTCATTCACATGAATGCGTTTGAGTGTGTGCGGGCAACACTCCTGTGTTGAATATAGTATTTTTTTTAGGGATTAGGGGAAGGATGACAAACGAGCACAGAGTCTACCTGATGGTAAGTGGCTGCTGAAGCTCGTGGACATCTACATTTATCCTCGATTAGGAATCAAAATGAAGATGTTTTCAGTTAAAAGGGTCTCCGGTTCTCTACACTCACCTTACGAAACACATCAACATTTCACGTTTTAATTCTGTGAAAGTGTTTTCTTACCCCGGCTCTATCACGTTTAAAATCATCGTAAGGAATAGAATGATAAAATAGTATGTTTTATCTTTCAGATAATAACTGAAAATACCTACTATGAATCTGCGCTTGCCCACCTTCGTACCAAGCGCGGCAACTTAAGCAGATATGAGATAACCTATGGAGAAGGCCTCTGTTCAGCTGTAGAACTTTGAGAGGTTGTAATGAATGAGTGAATATGTATGTTTAATCTCCAAAGAGGATGAGGCTTACGGCAGTTAGCGCTTATCTTGTTTGTACCGATAACAGATAAATTATATTTTACAATACACGATACGAGAGATTGATAAGGATAAGTTATAGAGCCATGTTGCAGCTATATTGTAGTTGTAGCACGAATGGGTCGGCTCGACCGGGGAAGGAACACGCTCTCACAGAATACCAGCGTAAAATAGTAGGTTAATACTGATGTGTTTCGTATGGTGAGTGTAGAGAACCGAATCCTTTTTACTGGATACGAGGCATTCCATCTTAGTCCTCACGCGCGACAAAGCATCTGCTTTTTGATTTTTAACACAGTATTCTATTACTATAAGGTGGGCCCCTTTGGATACCTGCGGAATCTCCATCAGCAGTCAGAATGCGCAAATTGTAAGCAACCATAGTGCTCACTATATCTTAAAGTGAAGTAAAAAGTAAAGTCACAGAATCATCAGTCAGTCACATCTCATTTCTGAGAGGGTTTTAGAGCAAGGAAGTGTACACGCCGCGCTGCCCCAATACGTGTTGACAAGTTTCACATATCTTCGAAATATTTTTCTTATTATTTATTATATATGCAGTGCTTTTTTGTTTCACCGCAACTTACTTAAAGCAAGTAGTAAATCAACGCATAAAATTGCAATTAACAATTTCTTTGGTGCCAGCTGGATCGAACCCAGGTTACTCCCATACTGTGAAATTTACAGCGAGCGTTAACCATCTGAGCTACCACGGCACTAAATACAATATTATGTAAAATGTCGGGTTGTTTCTTTTTTGTTCACGACGAAAACTTCAGTATTTTAATTGAATAAAAGTGACAGACGAGCCTATAGTCCACCTGATGGTAAACAGATGGTGGTGGTGAAGCGTGACGTGGCAGCAGCATTAATATAACTGCATAGATACGAGAGATCGGATCTATGCAATTATGCAATAAAATATCTACCGTTGGACTGTCGCTGTTGATCCCCATTATCAGTGTGGTGTCAGCATAACTCCATGATGCTTGTCGAATCCGAGTGAAAATAAATCTCCGTTAACTCGAAAAATTTGTATTTCCGATTTGTACTTTGTTATTAGGGTAAAACTCATATTAATAAAGATTACTTAAACACTGCAATAAACCAGTCAGATTAACTTCTTCGAAAGTTATATATCCTTACGTAAGTACCTATCTTTATTACGTAGTTGCGTACATATTCAAGTATAATATTATATCAACGTATGACCGTAAGCTGATTAACTGTGACATTGTGTAAGTTCTACGTCCTTTAAAAGGTTGCGTCTAAAGTGACAGCGGTTTAACCTGCTGATCTTGCGTAACAAGCGTGTGTTATTGCGTTGAGATAAGGGTGGTTTTTTAACGTTTTTGTGACCATGTAGGTACTACGATGTTATGGATACCTCATTTAAGTAATAACAATGCATTTACCACTTTAACTAACCTAAGGAAGCAATATGAACAAGCGCAATGATTATAACAGTTATTAAAAAAAACCTTATGTCACTTTGTAAACAATTAAGACGATTATGACGACATCCTAATGTTAAAATTCATCAGACCATTGAGGCTACAGAGCGTGCCAAAGAAATTAGCACATATTACATAAATACACTCGAAATACTACTTTCATTCTGGCAGTCGGATAAAAAGGAACGTGGTAAAGTAATGTGTGGTAATCACACGTCCTCACAATGTTTATTTCTCAGACAATTTGCAGGTTGCAGGTTTCCTCACATTTTCTTTGCCGCTATAATATGGGGCAAATCAGCACTAGTTAATTACCACGCCTCTTTCAAACTGTAGATTTAACGAAAAACTTATTAATTTATTTGTCGGAAAGTACAACACGGTAAGCCAATTGTGTGGGAAATAACAGGATAGCGTTAATTATTAAAAATGGTAAAAATGTGAGAACTGATGGTCAACTTGCTTGCGCAATTTATCTTTTTTTTATTAACTGGCTTTACGGCGCAATTTATCATTATCAATAATAGGACAGCGTAACGCACTATACATTCAGCATAGAGTAATTACAGTTTGACCATACCGCAGTATCTCCATAATATTTGGACACACTGTATATTGTATTTTGTCTCATTCTCTCGCAGCCTAAATCCTATTTTGTGTCTCCTCCCTGTGTTTGTCTCTTTTTAGTGTCCCTTTTTCGTTTTATCGATTTTAAGATCAAACGATTCTAAAGAAGTTTTAATTTCAAAAACTATTTTCAAAGTATATTGCTTCTAAAATATTTAAATACTCAGTTACGGTGCATATAATTCATATTTTATTTCTATATGAAACGATTGATGTTGATGATTCATTCTAAGATGTTTTTAAATGTCGTATGTAGATACGTCGTACTCGCCCCAGAATGGCAATACGATAGTCAGGTAATTACCCGACTCGCATTCAGTCGGGCACGCTCTCTACAGGCTCTACTTCGCTACAGCGCGTAAATCTTCTAGTTATTCGTGGCAATAATGCCTTCCTGTGTTTTTAGGTGGTGCACAAATTACACGGCAACTGTTAGAGACGAAAAACGTCTAATTTCATTCGTTTTCATTTAATATAGGTGTTTTGTTCATAATTACTTTTATCAACAAGTAACTGATAACATATATTCATCTTTTTCGAAGGTGTACTCTATCATTTGTCTCTTATTGTTAGCGCAACGTGTCATAATAAATAACTGTTGTAGATATACTACTATCTGCGCCACTTTAAAATACAATAATGTTAGTGTGTAACCTGTATATTTTTAATACGTTTTTGAATTCATGTTGTATTTTGCAAAGTTTAAAAAAATATGAATAAAATGTAACTTACGTTGCAGGGCGCCCAAAAACCTTTCAAAAGGGTTATCAAGGCGAACATTGGCGATGCTCACGCTATGGGACAGAAACCTATCACATTCATCAGACAGGTAACTAATTGCATTATTCATTTGTCACACGTATACATTTTGCTGGTGCCAGACTTAGCTTCAAATTGCTTCAAATACCCAAATAGCTACAAAGTCGCCAAGTGTGCTACGGGCATTTGCGTATGTGCGCAAAGTTTGAACACACAATTCCAGTTAGCCATTCATTGTCGGTTTTTCAATGCATCTCGAAGAAAACAAAGTTCAAAGTTTGAGCCTGCCACACTTATCGCAAAATTTTGTAACGCGAATGAGGTTGGTTGTTAGGGAGTTTTTTTAAATATAGAATAAGGGTGACAAACGAGCAAACAGTCCACCTGACGGTAAGTGGACGCTGTTGCCCATAGACATCTTCATTTATCTCGATTAAGAATCAAAACGCAAATGCGATGTCACCCCTGAGGATTAAGATGGAATGCCTCGTCCCCAGTAAAAAGGGTCTCCGGATCTCTACACTCACCATACAAAACACAGCAGTATTAAGCTGTATTCTGTAAAAACGTGGTCATTCCTCGGTCGAGAGCTTTATTATGGTTGTAGGAAATGCGTCGGGCATTTGTACTACAACCATAATAAAGCTGCAGAATGGCTCACCACGTATAAAAGTCAACAATGGGCTGGACTATTGATGTTGTTATCGAATTTATTTTAATTTAAATAAAATGAATAAAATAGTTAATGGTAGTCAAGTAAAACAGCAGAATGGAGGCGGCGTAAAATAATCCATCACCCTATTTCGTCCCGTGGGTGTCCTAAAATTGTATTACGACGATACCAGCAAAATGTTATGCATGTCAGTAGAATGCGTTACACCGTCTCATTTAAGCTAGATGAGATTAAAACTGTGTGGACAAAATAACCAGCATCAAATGGTCATGTTTTCATTTTTTTTAATTCATTTCTTTCTTTCTTTATTGCGATCATCAATTCGACAGTCAAGCGTGGCGATTATACCAAATTCTCCAAATAAGTAAGACCTATCCAGAAGTAAACTTTTATGGATCGAATATTAAAATAATAAAATAAAACGGAAATACGGTGTCGGCGTTTACAAAATAGTCGTTCGTTTTGCGATCCATCTTTCGGTAAATATCAGTGCACACTGACACGTGCCAGATGTTCTCAAAATTTGCATTAATATTTACCATTTGCGTACACAAAGCAGATGTTTCAAAATGGATCAGATCTTTGTACACTACCTTAAAAAAAGAGAAAAATCTGTAGAATTCGGTTAAATATAGATAATTCATTTAAATCTATGCTGTCGTGGTAAACAATGATGTTTATCAATTATTTTTATCGACTTTCAACATGGCGTCTCACCGATTTAGTTACTCTGTGCTTACAGACAATGACAGCAAACTATAAAGCGATCTGATCATAGAAAGGAAACTGTCAATTGTCAAAAATACGTGAAATAAACATGTCAAACGTTCACTAATCAATAAAAATGACAGCTTACCGCCATGACGGGTTTTGTTGTTTGTTGCAATTTCAAATGTAATTTCCAGAGCTTTAACAGCAAACAAAGCCATTATAAAATAATTGGATAGCTGTGAATCTTTTAAAATATGTTTCCCTATTTTTGCTCCATACATTTTGGAACATCTCATTTAATCAAATGTTTGGAAAATGTTAGTTGAAACTTTGCTCACGTGTCTGGCGCTGGGATTGAATAACCGAGTTTAAAAGCGATCCTGGTCATCATATGTTATTAAATTTATTTTATTTGTGTATGTTGATGTATTAACAACTACTTCAGGTAGTAGCATGCGTGAGTTACCCGGAGCTAATCGAAAAGTACGACTTTCCCTCGGACGTGAAGCAGCGGGCCAGGGAAATTCTGAAAGCGTGCGGGTATGTCGAAATACTTTTTGAAATAGTTTATTTTCTTTCATGAGGGATGACCCGGGATGGTTCGAATCCCGGGGTCGGCCCTAAATAAATTATTATATTTTTCTTTCAAGCAATTCTCGGTAGCGGCACGGTGTCAGAAAGTGGGCGGTGTTAAAGCCATTAGTTCTGCGCCTGATCTCTCCGTTCGTGACGGTTTGCAGTCCGATGGACTATAAGAGTGAGGGAATAGAGTGCACCTGTGCTTGTGCATACACTTGGGCACTATAATCCTGTCCTGCGCCGATGGCTAGTCTCCGTTGAGGCTGGTCGCCGCGACCACAAATCGGTCTGGAGGACTTTATTCTATGTTTAATAAACAGTAGATCATGCCATTTCGAATTTCCCTTCTGAATGAAAATCGCGACTTAGAACACGAGGTTTATATGGAAACTTAATTTTAGCAACGTCTTTGAAAGTAGACAGGTGCTATACCCGGATCAAATTTGTGACACGGTAGTAACATTTTTTTTATACAATTAGGGTAACAAAATAGCACACAATCCGCCTGAAGGTAAGTGGATAGCCCATAGACATCTACATTTGTCCTCGATTACAAATCAAAACGCTGATGCGTTGTTTAATGTTGTTGTTGATATAATGCCTCGTTTACCCTCCCTTTAGTCGTGTCGTATTACAGTTCCATGGGACTGACTATTTTTTATACGTGGTAGAGCCACGCTGTAGCGATATTGTAGATGTAGCACGAATGAATGAAACGACCGAAGAAGGACCACGCTCTCACAGAATACTAGCGTAAAATATCAGGTTAATACTGCTGTTTCGTATGTTGAGTGTAGAGATCCGGAGACACTTTTTTACTGCAAACGAGACATTCCATCTTAGTCCTCAGGGGTGACAACACATATGCGTTATGGATTCTTAATCGAAGACAAATGTAGATGTCTAGGGGCCACAGCATCCACTTACCATCAGGAGGATTGTGTGCTCGTTTGTCACCCTTATGCTATACAAAATATATAAATAGGGGGAGTTGGCTCTTACGCATACATTCGGGGACTAAAATCCTGTTAAGACTAGCCACCAGCGCCGCAGTGACCGAAATTCGGTCTAGAAGACCTCAATGATAGTGACGCTGATATATTTTGGGTGTGAATCCCAGCGGTGGGTCGGTGGGCTCGTACTCGATGTCGCACGGCATTGAGTTGATCCGGCGGCACGTGGCGGAGTACATTGAGCGGCGCGACGGTCACGCGTCCGACTGGCGCAACGTGTGCCTTTCGGCCGGCGCATCAAACGCCATCAAGAACGTCCTCCAGCTTCTATGCAACGATATCAACGGTCAACCGTCAGGTCAGTGCAATTCTTTTTAACCGACTTCAAAAAGTGAAGAGGTTGAATAAAACTAATTTTACGCATTTGATCGCGTTTGCGCGGGGCGGAGGGGGGGACCCTTGCTGTAAAGAACCCGAAAGAAGTGCCAAGAATTAAAAATGAAATATATAAGTTAAATAAAACACAATAAAATCTGTAAAATTATTTTTATCTAATATATAAGAGATCATTAACTGAAGAGGTAATTTCAGTTCAGTTCACGTCCGTGTACGATTTTTGTACTTACATATACATTACGCGATATCGTAGATATATTATTATTTATATTAAAAAACGTCTACCTTCGGGTTAATATCACATAAATTTGGAGTATATAAGTGTTTAGACAACATTTAAAATAAATATAAATTTCATTCTATTATTTTTACAATAAATACTAAAACGTCGTACAGAGCCAGCAGAAAATTCATGACACGATCTCATTCTTGGACGTTGCGTTTATCAATAAGAAATTCTCGAACAATTTATGACACAAATATACTGGATGACATTTTTTACCATCTGAAAAAAAAATAGGGTGTGACATGTGAACGGAGAAGAAGCCCATGGCACCGAAATACTTTTACAAAGAAGAAAAACATAAATTTTGAATTAAATAAATAAATAAATTAAAATGTATCGAAATTCAAATCATATCCACCCTACTTTAAGAGCGGCAATAAAACAATAAATTTAGTAGGCATCTTTGACCTTGTCACTTCGCAAAGTCCATAGGATATGATTTGATTTTTCGATAAGATTATAAATTATAATTAATTAATTAATTAAATTCAAAATTTTTGTTTTTTATTTTTTGTAAAATATCAGTGCCATAGACTTCCACTTTGTTCACATGTTACACCCTATTGTTTCCAGACGGTAGAAGAGTTCATCCAGTATATTCGTATTTCGCTGTTTTATCACCACTCTTATGGTGTAGTGAAGGTTAAAGGTTATTCTTCTGACTTCAGATTACTATCCTGTCCTATGCTTGTACTAATAATAGTTAAGAAGTTGCGGTGCACAAATAAAATTCAACTGTCCATAATATAAAGATGTATTTCTATTTTCACAATAATTTTCCTAATTAACAACAGAATCACTAAGTTAAACAAAGCCTAAAATACCGAGCTACTCTACCGGGGTAACGATCTATATCTAACTAGGGAGGCTACCGAGGAGAAAGCGTGTCGGGGGGTGATTGACTCGCCTTGCGGCGGCCCGCTAAAATGCTGTTTTAAAACTGCAAACTCGATGTACAGTCGTCACACGTATGAATATTATAATGTAGGTAATATGTAAAAATTGTGTACAAACATTATTTTAGAGTAGTGGTTACAACTTACAAAGAAGGTTACACATTCCACCTGATGGTTCGTGGAAGCTGTAGCCCATAGACACCTACATCTATCCTCGATTAACATTCAAAAGCCGATGCCTCGTTACCAGAAAAAAAAGTCGCCGGTTGAACCGACCCTATCGTGCTGCAGTCGTATAAAGGCAAAATCGGGTCTCTACTACCTATTAAGGAAAAAGCATAGAATACTATAATACGCAATAGAATGGCTGTCAGCCTTGTTTTGTACGAGGATCGGTGTCGCCGGTGGCAACACATACAAGCAATTATGTCATATTATCACTACTACAAACCCGATTAGCTGTATTGACAGACTGAGTGAATTTACACATTTTTAGGCTTTTGATTAATGTTTTTGACACATCAATATTTCTTTATTTTTGTTTCTAATATACTCAAAATATAAATAGTTTCGACTTACTGGTTGTAGGATATGTCTCTTTTATTTAAATTCCATTTCCCGCTGTTCTTTCGACACGTAATTATTGCACAATTTGCCATTTTTTTTTAAATAATTTGCATGAAGCGACGCTTGACACGAAAATTGGAAACAAATTGATTGTGTTGACATTTATAGGTGTGAATTAACATGTTAGTGGCTACACGTGCTCCGCCCACTCCCCCGTTCTATTATGTATGTATGTAGCTTTACAACACTAAGTCATACAAAAACTAACCACATTACATTTAAATAAAACCCATCGCAGTGAGTCCGCACCGCATTGGTTAGCATCTACCGGATGGTAGCATTAACGCAGATATTTCAATTTACATTATATAAATAGTGCGTAGTCGTCGGTCCTGCTACACTTGCATAAGGCATGACTTGCAGTGCTATCGGCCCCGGGTTCTAATCCCGCACGGAACATATACACACAGTATTTGTATGGCCTACAAATAATGGTTCCGGGTCTGGATGTTTGGCCTTGTGAAAAAAATTGCTCCTAAGATACCTACAGGAAAAATTCCTAGAGTGGAGGTAACGTTTTTTAAAAGAATATAAAATATGTAGAAGACTTACTGACTACCAGTGTAACTGTGGTTAAAATACTTGTCCAATATGCCGCTGATCGCGAGTACAAGTACCAACCGGAGCACATAAAAAATTGTTAGTTTTTTATGTATTATACCTGAAAGTTGATGGACGGTTAAGAATAACACTCTTTATACCGAATTTCGGCCACGGCGGTCAGTTTGGACGGAGACTAGCCATATGCGCAGGTAGAGTTGCCAGGTCTTAAAACCGAAAAGGCGGACGGACCAGCGAGCGGACTTTTTGGTAAAAAGACCGGACATCTTTAATTTTTCACTCTTTAGTAATACGATATTTTTTTTAAAGTATAGCAAAGTTTTTTATCGTTTACCTTACTGTTAATTCGCTCTATATAATATTATTTCTAACCATAATCTTTATTATTAATCATTCAATATTGATTTCATAATTGCTATAGTATGTATGTAGGTACATGAAAAATGTAAGCCGGTGTATATGTAAAATGTAATCTAACAAAAGCCGGACAAGCCGGGCACCGTCTAATTTGGCCGGACACGCCAGCAAAAAGCCTGACTGTGTCCGGCTTTATCCGGACGCCTCGCAACGCTATGCGCAGGACACGATTATAGTGCACTAGTGTGTATACACAAGCAAACGTGCGGTCGATATTCCCACTACTGATGTTCTGGTCTTATAGGGTATAGGGAGCCAGTATAATTACAGGTTGAGAGGTATTCCATCTTAGTCCTCAGGGGTGAAAACACATCTGTATCCGAAATTGGTTGAAGTTGTCCGTGTCATCAAATGGACTTAAAAGTTCGTTTGTCACTTCAGCTTATTAAAAAAATTGTTTTGTCCTGCCATATCTGGGAGTTTTTAGTTCACCGCGTTACTCCAATCTCCGATACATGTTGGCGGATTTCACATGTCTTTAAAATATTTTTTAAAACATTTATATGGGCACCTAAAATAGTTTCTTTGGATCAAGATCGAACTCTGGTTGCTAATGCCCTGGATTTTTTTTTAAAAATAAAGCGGGCAAACGAGCGTGGCTTATCTGATGGAAATGACGACCTCTAGAAAGAAGTAAAAAAAGTGAGTTTTGTAACGACCTTGGGGTATTTCACAAGGATAAACTTTTAGAATCGGAACAAGTTTTTGTAGGCATACAAATGCTTGTTCCGTGCGGGATTCGAGCCTGCGACTCCCAGCGTTGTTAAGCCACTGCGCCACGGAGTCGTTAATTATTTTAATTTTGTAAAACATAGCTGATAGTATTCGAATAAAATAAAATAAATGTAGAATCGTTTTTATTCAATGTTACATGTATTTCTTATTGAAAGTCAATTTTTACCACCGAGAAATCCAGTGGGTGTTTTTCCAAATTAAATTATACCATAAGAAATATTATACAAACTATTTACAAAATTTATTTTAGAAACACCTTGGAAACGACTACTTCCTTCCTGGTGTTTCTCTTCAACCACGTATTAGTTTATATTATAATAGCCCTTTTTGTACAGTTTTTGTTTAATAAAATACTTATTTTCTTCCAGGTGTGATGATCCCCATTCCGCAGTACCCGCTGTATTCAGCGTCTTTGGCTGAATACGGCTTGGAGCAAGTCGGCTACTATCTGAATGAGGAAACCAACTGGGGACTTGATATTTCCGAGCTTGAGCGATCGCTGTCTGAAGCCAGTAAGAAGTGTAATGTTCGCGGCTTAGTCGTCATCAACCCGGGAAATCCCACGGGACAGGTGATTGCTATCATATGTACTTGGTTTTAAGGCATATTTTTTTTTCTTTGCGTGGTAGCCAAGCTGCAGCTATATATATATATATATATATATATATATATATATATATATATATATATATATATATATATAGTGGTTGTAGCACGAATGGGTAGGTTCCACCCGAGAAGGACCACGGTCTCGCAGAATACCGGTTTAAATGTTTTTTTGAAGTGAACACTTCTTTAGCGGCGTTGTACACTTTTTTGTAATGGGTAAAAAATGTTAAACTCGCGTCAGGACACGTGACCCTGATCGAAAATTCGTAAGACGGATGGAGAGAGAGAGAGACAGCCGGCGCGGCGTAGGAGAGGAAGTATCCCCCCTCTCTTTCTAAGGAGTGGTGAAAATGTATACCTGCGCTTGCTGTTTCGTTTAGGCGGCGCAGGGTACTTCCGCGAATGTTCGTGTGTGATAATTAATGAATTCGTGCAAAATTATTCCCTAATCATTCCAAAATATCAAAAATGCACTACGTTAATATTCACGTTTTTTTTATAGAAGAAGGGTGACAAACGAGCACATAGTCCACCTGATGAAGTGGTTGCTGTGGCCCATAGACATCTACATCTATCCTCGATTATGAATCAACTTTCAAATGTGTTGTCACCCGTGAGAACTAAGATGGAATGAATCCTTTCCAGTAAAAAGGGTCTCCAGTTCTCTACACTCACCATACGAAACACAGCAGCGTTAAGTTGCTATTTTACGATGGTATTCTGTGAGAGCGTAGTCCTTCCGCGGTCGAGCAACCCATTCGTGCTACAACTATACTACAATATAGCTGCAGTATGACTCTACCATATACAAAAAAAAATGACGGGTTGCGCTCCGGGAGTGCCGGCAGAAGTGAAAAATTGAATATTAACGTTGTGCATTTTTGATATTTTGGAATGGTTAGGTAATAATTTTGCACGATTTGCTTTAATTATCACATAAATACGAACATTCGCGCAAGCGCCCTGCGCCGCCTAAACGAAACAGCAGGCGCAGGCATACATTTACGCCCCCCCCCGAACGGGTTCCCGCCTTGTCGTGGCGGGGGGCTTAGTAGCCGTGGCTTGGTCTCCCACGGTGAACAAAGAGGAACCCACGTGGCTGGCCCGAGGTGAAGGGCCGGCCTTAGGTGGCCGCTCCGAGTGGGCTTGGGGAGCCCACTTTGGATGTGTGCTGGTGGACTGCAGCGAGTGGGGACTCGCGCACCCTCTACCGCTGCAGCCGAGGTGGAGTCGCGGAGGAAGAGGAGTGTTGGTATGGCGATGCGCCACTCGCCCTATCCTTCGCGACTCAAACGGGGCCGCACCGTTGATGCGGTGGTGGTGGGGCTGCGGGGGGAGAGGATTGTCGGTATTGCGAGGCGCCGCTCTCCCTACCCTCCGCAGCCGAATCTTGGTTGGCGGCGGAGCCATAGACCAGATCCGCCGCTGGGGTCGGGAAGACTAGTACTTCTAAGTGCTCGTTTTTCCTGGCCCCATGGCCTTTGTGCATCGGACGCGGGGGCGTCTGTTGCACAGACGTAGTTGGAGGCCGTGGAGGAAGGCGCGCCATGTGTTCTGGTGCGCCTTACCTGGGAAGGAGAACGGGGAGGAATTTTCCTCTCCCGAGGAGGTGCTGCCATGGGGCGGCAGGCGCTAGTAGGGCCGCGGATGTGTGCGAAAGCGTTCCCGTAGCCCTGCCAATATGCGACAAAGGTGGAACACCATGGGGTTTTAGTCGGTGCGAGTCCGACATAACCCGTCCTTGCCCCCGCGAGGCGGGTATGCGTAGGCATTTCCCCATGCAAAAAAAAAAAAAAAAAAAAGGCATACATTTTCGCCGCGCCGTAGAAAGAGAGGGGGATATTTCCTCTCCTACGCCGCGCCGGCTGTCTCTCTCCATCCGTCTTACGAATTTTCGATGAGGGTCACGTGTCCTGACGCGAGTTTAACATTTTTTACCCATTACAAAAAGTGTACAACGCCGCTAAAGAAGTTTTCACTTCAAAAAACCACATGCAAAAATGTAGTTTAATGCTGCAGTGTTTCGTATGTTGAGTGTAGAGAACCCCCCTTTTTTTTAGACACGAGGCATTACATCTTACTCTCAGGGGTGACAATCCATCTGTATTTTGATTCTTAATTAAGGATAAATATAGATGTCTATGGGCCACAGCATCCACTAATCATCACATGGACATTTTTTATTTTTTTTTTTCTCTGAAAAGGATTATGTAAACAGATCGTATCATGAAACAGAATGTAGTCTTTATTGATTGTGCAGGATTTATTTTCATATTGTATGAATACGAGTGAATTCCAGGTGTTGACGCGCGAGAACATCGAATCAATTCTGAAGTTCGCACACAAGCACAGCTTGCTTTTATTTGCCGACGAGGTGTACCAAGATAATATCTACGCTGAGGGCAGCAAGTTCTACTCCTTCAAGAAGGTGAGCCAATTGAAAGAATATTGCGTTAATATATTACAAATACCCTCACAATTCATATATGTACATACTATAAATCTTCCAGCGACAACAGCTTGTAACGTAAACATTCAAAGTCATCAGCCCAACTGGCCCTATGTTCAAGCAGAAAGTTTTAATTATTAGATTATATCATAAATATAAATATGTGCAATTTATTTTTGCATTCTAATATTGCATAACATGGCATATTTATGCTTAAATCTAATTTAATATTAAAATCAAATCAAAAATATTTATTGCATGATTTCTGGTAAGATTAAATAAGATGTTAAAAATATGTTATGTACATTTTGTGCTCCATAGTCTACTTATATCTTTAACAAGTATAATATAAATTCAATCATAATAATCAATCATAACAATATATTATGTCAGTTTTTCAACTAACAATAAGTTACGTATGGATTGAACATTTTTATTGTAATTCTCATATTATCTAATCTCCATTTAACAGTAAATGATGAAATGTAGTGTATATGTGTAGTTTATGAAGTTCAACTATTTTTTCTTATATTTACGCGAACACTACACATTGAAATAATACTAGTTTTTACGGAATTTATCGCGTATATTACATGCTTACCTGTTGAAGACTGCATCTCAATTGTAACTAGAAGGCTGGAAGAAAACAACATGCCTGTAGAATATGCAGTATTACTCAGACGCTGCCTTACATCTGGCTACCTATTGTGGAAGGAGGAGTTCTACAAGCAAGTGGATGGTGTGGCGATGGGCTCACCTGTATCTCCCATTGTCGCCGACATATTCATGGAAGACTTTGAGGAGAAAGCCCTGCTTAGTTCTCCCATAAATCCAAGGTTCTACAAGCGGTACGTAGACGACACTTTCACAGTTCTACCTTTAGATAAAGTAACTGCATTTTTAGACCATCTTAACTCTATAAATTCTAAAATTCAGTTCACAATGGAGTTAGAGGCAAACAATTCCTTAGCTTTTCTAGATGTGTTAGTAATTCGGAATCCTGATAACACCTTGAGCCATACTGTGTATAGAAAAAAGACCCATACAGATAGATATTTAAACGGTGATTCTCACCACCATCCTTCACAGTTAGCTACCGTGGGTAAATCTTTGTTTCAGAGAGCACGAGGGATCTGTGACAGTAAACACCTGGCTGCCGAGCTCCACCATGTCAAGCAAGTTTTGCATGACAACAAGCTTCGAGTCCCGCGCCTACGTCACAGTGAACGAGTGAAGCCGGCCACAGTCGAGCGTGTACCTGCTGTACTGCCATATGTTAGAGGAGTCGCTGACAAGATTGGCTACATCTTGAAGCGCGCTTCCATCAAAACATACTCAGTGAGAAGATTGGTCAGTTTACCGGTCAGTGTAACGTCCCTCTGCAAGATGCAGGAGTGTACAAGCTTGATTGTGAATGTGGTCTCTCCTACATAGGACAAACTAAAAGATCAATAAAAACCCGCGTTAAAGAACATAGCTGATGTGAAGAATCGACGCTCCGGGAAGTCTGCAGTCTGTGAACACGTACAGGATCGCCCCCGTCACTACATCAGATTTGATAGACCGCAGATCCTCGCTAAAGAACACCGATTCCTTCCAAGGATGATTCGCGAGGCTATTGAAATCAAAAAACATCCTAATTTCAAGAGAGAAGATGGCTGGGTGCTACCATCTGCTTGGGATCCTATAATAAATAAAATTAAATCCCAACCCAAGCATACAACTGCAAGACTTCAAGATACCATAAGTTCATACTGCATAGATCGGAACAAAAGTTAAATTTTAATCCATGGTAACCGCGGTTAACTATGACATATGGACGTTGAACATCTCAGTCCTGCCCGTGACCATGAGTGCTGTAAAGCGTTCGAAACGTCGGGTATTTAAAAAGTTAAAATATACGCGATAAATTCCGTAAAAACTAGTATTATTTCAACTATTTTTGAAACGTTTACAGCTTTTATGTTTTGTTTCAAGTGTCTTATAAGTCATCTTAAGTTCTTGAATGAATAATTTGTAATATAAACTGGTTTTACATGAACCGCATTTAATAAAACTGATTATTATGGATAACGAAACGTTGCTTGAATATAGAAATCGGGTATAAGATGTATGTTCGGTTAGGTCAAGGTTTTAGAAATGCTTTTTAAAAAAAGAACTTGAGGAATCGATCGCCGTTTATTTAATTATAAAGTAAATACAATAAATATTTAGGAAAATGAGACCGAACACCACGGATGTTAGCTCTCAACTGACTGTGGTCCTGATGATGGCAAGCTCTGTGTTCACAAACAATGAACACAAAACTGTTAGCATTATAGAGTCTAGATCATTGAAGTGGTGTTTACTACTGAGCAATATTTCTGGGGTGGTCTGCAGTAGACCCCGTGCCGGACTACTCCGGGCTCAAATGCTGAAGGTGGTGCTCCTCGATATCACCCGCATCGTTCGTCGGTTTCTCTCCCTTTCCCCCTAAACTTTGGCCGTTTGCTCTCCTCTGCCAAGGGCTTCTATTTGCTTTAGTTTATATTTATTAATGTATTTTATGTTTACAAATTTTACTAATACAAGTTAGAAGATCAGGCCAGTATCCTTCCTGCTATGTTGCAGCTAGTGGCGTCATGCCTCGCAGACAGGAGGTTCTACGTCTGTGTAGAGGACGCCAAGTCCACAATAAGACCCATAAGAGCCGGCGTACCACAGGCAGATGTTTGACTACAGTCCTGTACGTGGCTTATACCAACGACATACCCTCCCTGGCAGGTCACCTGCTAATCTGTCACCGCGAATAGGAGGACGACGTAGAGCTGGCGCTATTTGCGGATGATAGCGCCTACTTCTCTTAGTCCAGAAGAGCCCACATCTCCACTGTCAAGATGCAACGTCTGCTGGATCTGTTGCCACCATGGCTGGATGAGTGGAGGATGGGCGTCAATGTTTGTAAGACGACCGCTCTGCTCACTCGCCGCTTCAGAAGATTTCCACCATCACTTAATCTCAGAGGCCAGGAGATCGCGTACGAGAAGTACCTTGAGTGCCGGATCGGCAGGATGCTGCGCATGACCGCGCACGTTGACTTCGTCGGCTGCAAAGCCAGATGTGCGCGGGCGATGCTCCGTCCAGTCTTGGCATCCAAGCTGCCGATCAAAACAGAGACCAAAATTTATAAAACCTATATCAGACCATTGCTGATATATGTGGCTCCAGCCTGGTACGCGCTCCTGAGCGATCGCCAGTAGCGGCGACTGCAGTTCCAGCAGAATTTGTCACTACAAACCATTGTCGGTGCGGGCCGCTACGTCCGGAACGACGTAATGGCGGCCAACCTGAAAATTGAAAACCTTCAAGAATTTGTGGTTCGGCTGGCGCGCGGCATGTTTGGTCGTGCTGACAACGGGCCACAGCAAGTCTCAACGACTTTGCGCCGCTACATACACGGCACCCGGACGGGCGACCCTACCCAAGAAAACTCCTCTCAACATGGATTAGAGAGTTGAGTAAATCCCACAATGTCACAGAAAGGCCAATTTTGACACAACATAACACAAATATTAGATAAGTTCCTTTTACTTATAATTTACCCGACTGCGGCCAATAGCCGCCACCTAATTGATAACGATTAAAGGAGTATACCCCGAGGCCCGAGACCTGCTGGGCAGAAAGCCCACGCAGAAGACAACAAGATAGACACAGACAACTACATTTAATTAGAAAACTATGGGTTTGTTCCGAAACGTTTTCAGTATACTGCCAAATACAAATGACGTCATCAATTGACACTTATTGTACTGGCGTGCCGCCGCCATATTGTGTCGGATATGCGGCCATAATAAAACAATTTTTAATTGTGTGTGCGCTGAACGAAGCATGCCAGAATTTGTTTCAAATACAAAAAATTATAGAATAATTGCTGGTATCTCCACTAGGAGGATATAATGATTTTTGGAGCACAAAATGACAAAATAATCGCCAACACTTCCAATATGGCGCAAATGTATGACGTCATATACTGTCCTATGTTTTGGAACGAATCACGAGTATAGCGTCGATTCATGACGTCATTTGCATTGGACAGTACACTGGGTTCTATTTTGGAACATACTCTATATAAATGAAGGTAGAATGTAGGTTGATAGTGGGTGAGTTAACTGTCAAATGTCTTTCGTATGCCGATTATCAAGTCATATTTGCGTCGTAATTATGGTTACATTAATTAACAGGTCATTAAAAAAGAAAGACGAATGAAAGTGAACGCAAGCAAAACGAAAGTTATGGTTTTTGAAAAAGAAAGTAAAATGAGATACGTGAAATAAGAATAGAAGGGGAGAGTTTGTCGAGCAAGTAGATGAGTTTGTGTATTTGAGATGTGTATTTAGCAGGGATGGGACATAGGATAAGGATATAGAACGACGAGTGAACGCAGGAAATAGAGCTAATGGGGCTCTTCACTCTATTGTGGAAAGTCAGAATGTGTAAAAAACGCATATGTCATACGTACATACATAATTCGAAATGCTGTGCTAGTCCCTACTCTAATGTATGCTAGTGGAAGTTGGGTGTGGCAGAAGCACAAGAATAAATACAGTAAAATGCAGTCATTAAGGAGTTTGTTGTGGCTGAATCTGAATGACAGGATGAGAAATTGTGTGATAGGAGAAAAGTGTGGTTTGCAAGATGATGTTGTGACCAAGATTAAGAAGGGAATGCTTCAGTTGTTTGGCCATACAGAAAGAATGAATGAGGAATGAGTGTCAAAGCAAATTTATATTGCAGAAGTGAATGGAAGAGTCTGAAAGGGACAGCCTAGACGAGATTATCGATCAAATTGGCGATATATTGAAAGTGGGCCATGTGAGCCATGTGGCCAATTAAACATGTATACGTAGGTATATGGATGTAAAGGAGGCGAAAGAAGTGAGTCTGGATCGAGCCAAATGGAAATCCGTAGTCTCTGCCTACCCCTCTGAGTGACAGGCTTTGTGTTTTTTGGACAGTGTTTATCTTTTATGTTGTTTTCATTTCATATATTTACAGCCTAGTCACATGAGAAAACTACATGAATACCCCATAATAATGATAATAATTTATTTACTCACAATAATATATAATTATTGTATATAATTCTAAAGTATTGCCTTAATGCTGTACTGTGGGAGATTGATGAAGATGAGAATGAAAATATTATTATGCTAGGAGATTTTAATAGAAGGGTTGGGGTGAGGAGGCTTGGTTATGAAAGAATATTGGGAACGTTTGGTGATGAAAATATAAAAGAGAATGGTTTGGTGATGAAAGTATAAATGGAAAAAGTCTTCTCACTGTATGTATGGAAAAGAATCTTTTTGTGACGAACACTTGCTTTCGCCACAAGAGGATTCACATGTATAATTGGGAAAGAGGTGACGATAGAAGCGTGATAGATTTAATAATTGTAGATGAAAGATCGAGGGGCGCAGTGGTGGATACAAGGGTTTACCGGGGTTCTAACGTAGGAACGGATCATTATTTGGTTTTATGCCGAATTAATGGTCTATTCAGGCGTTGGCGCCATCGGTCATCTGTGTCTACCACTGCGTTACAGCGTATTAGAACAGAAAGGTTACAAGATGAAGGTGAGAAAAACAAGTTCAAATGTAGACTGAAAGAATATATAAGTGGTTTGGATGAATTATGTATGAAGGAGTTAGACTTGGAGAATGTATGGCAAAATGTAAAGAAAGGTTTAGTGGATGCAGCTACCGAAGTATGTGGTGTTAGTAAGAGAAAGAATGAAAGGAAAAATAATACGTTATGGTGGGATGATGAGGTACGTATGGAAGTTGCAGCAAAGAAGAGAGCATGACTAGATTTACTAGCAACAAAGGCTGGTAGTAATTCTAGCGGTACGAATGATGATATTGAAAGAAAAAAGGCAGTCTTTAGACATCTTAATAAGAGAGTAAAAGAAGTAGTTGAAAGAAAAAAGCAAGAAAGAACGGATAAGAATGATAGAAGAATATCGGATAACTTCCAGGCAAATATTAAAATGTTCTGGAAACTTGTAAGAACTGCCAAGGGACATTCGAAACAGCCCATGATGAATGCTATAAGAGACGAGAATGGCTATATTTTGAATGATGAAGTTTTGAGTTTAAAGAGATGGAAGGAATATTTTGAAAGCGTGTTTATGAGTGAGGAGACAACGTGTGTACTAAGTAAAGTAGAAATTCCGAAAGAAGAGGAAAGAGGTAGCGAGATAAGTATAGGTGAAATAATGAAAGCAATGAAAAGGGGGTATGGCTGATATGATAGAGTTTCACTCGAAATGCTAAGGGATGAAGAGGAAGTGGTGGCAGGCCTGCTGCACACCTTGTTTAATTTATGCTGGGAACTGAAGCGGGTACCGGTAGACTGGTGCAAAGCCGTGATAGTCCCAGTATATAAGGGAAAAGGGTCGCAGCGGGACTGTAAAAACTACCGTGGCATCAGCCTTCTTAGCATTGTGGGAAAACTGTATGCTAAGGTACTGATTGAAAGGGTCATGAAAGAAACTGATGGAAAAATTTGGGATGTGCAAGCGGGATTTAGAAAGGGAATGGGATGTACAGATCAAGTCTTTTCCATGCGCATGATCGCGGAGAAGTTTTTGGCCAAAAACCAAAAGGTTTTTTGTGCGTTCATGGACTTGGAAAAGGCCTATGACAGAGTGAATAGGGATGTGCTATGGCAAACACTGAAGTCATTTGGGTTGGGCGCTGGCTTGATACAGGCATTGGAGTCCCTTTATAGGGACTCTAGTGCTTGTGTTAGGATCAACGGGGTCTACTCGGACTGGTTTGACATCCATAAAGGTGTCAGACAGGGCTGTGTGGCGCTTCCCCGTGGCTGTTCAACCTATTTATGGACAGTTGTTTGCAAAATTTGAAAGTTGAAGAATGCGGATTAAGAATGGGTGAGTTAACCGTCAAATGCCTTTTGTACGCCGATGATCAAGTTATCCTTGCGTCGTCGGCGGCCGAGTTGCAAATGATGGTTACATTAATGAACAGATCATTAAAAGAAAGGGAGGGGTATGAAAGTGAACGCAAGTAAGACGAAGGTTATGGTTTTTGAAAGAGAAGAAAGTAAAACGATTTGTGAAATAAGAATAGAAGGGGAGTTGATCGAGCAAGTAGATGAGTTTGTATATTTGGGCTGCGTATTTAGCAGGGATGGGAGATATGATAAGGATATAGAAAGACGAGTGAATGCGGGAAATAGAGTAAATGGGGCCCTGCACTCTATTGTGAAGAGTCAAAATGTGTCGAAAAAGGCACGTATGGCAATTCACAATGCTGTGTTGGTCCCTACTTTAACGTATGGTAGTGAAAGTTGGGTGTGGCAGAAGAAGCACGAGAGTAGAATAAACGCAGTAGAAATGCGGTCGTTAAGGAGTATGTTAGGGCTGAATCTGAATGACATGGTAAGAAATTGTGTGATAAGAGAAGAGTGTGGTTTGCAAGATGATGTTGTGACCAGGATTAAGAAAGAAATGCTTCGGTGGTTTGGTCATGTGGAAAGAATGAATGAGGAAAGAGTGACAAAGAAAATTTATGTTGCAGAAGTGAATGGCAGAGTTGGAAAGGGACGTCGTAGGCGAATATTTATCGACCAAATTGGCGATTTATTGAAAACGGGCCAAATTAGGAGTACCTTTAACCGACGAGCATGTATGCGGAGGTGTATGGATGTGAAGGAGGCGAGAGAGGTGTGTCAGGATCGTGCCAAATGGAAGTCTGTAGTCTCTGCCTACCCCTCTGGGTGTCAGGCGTGAGTGTTTATGTTATGTTATGTTATGTGGGAGATTGGTGCCTAACCTAGGCTTTAGGCCTATATATCAGCGCGCCACATCTCCGTTTTTTGTGGTAATCACAATACCTTTATCATGTTACTTTATTTCATGCCTAGAGCCATGTTGCAACTTCTACTATTACTACTAGTACTATTTTGTACGTGGTAGAGCCATGCTGCAGTTATATTAGTAGTATAGTTGTAGCACGAATGGGTCGACTCGACTGGGGAAGGACTACGCTCTCGCAGAATACTAGCGTGAAATAGTGGCTTAATGCTGCTGTGTTTCGTACGGTGAGTGTAGAGAACCGGAGACCCTTTTTACTGGAAATGAGGCATTTCATCTTAGTCCTAACGGGTGACAACGCATCTGCATTTTGATTCGTGATCGAGGATAGATGTAGATGTCTATGGGCCACAGCAACCACTTACCACTAGGCGGACTGTGTGCTCGTTTGTCACCCTGTCCTATAAAAAAAATATGGTTGCAGCATGAATGGGTCGGATTTTTAAAGGAGGATTGATGAAAATTTCTATGGACCACAGCATTCTTTTACCATCAGGTAGACTGTATGTTCGTGTTACCTTTATTCTAGAAAAAAGAATGTACCATATATGTTATTTAATAAATTTATGTCTTCTTTTTTATTTAACTTTTGTGTTTAACATTTAGATTAAAATTGCAGGTGGTCCGCGAGATGGGCGAGCCGTACAGCTCAGAGCTGGAGCTGGCGTCGTTCATGTCGGTGAGCAAAGGCTACATGGGAGAATGTGGGCTCCGTGGAGGCTGGATGGAGCTGCTCAACTTCGATCCGGAAGTGCAGGCGCAGCTCTTCAAGTGCATCTCGGCCATGCTGTGCCCCACCACACTGGGACAGACAGCTGTTGACTGTGTTGTAAGTGTAACCACGTAATTCTTAACGCTACCTTCATGCTGCACCCATCGTCATGTGACATACATACTGTTACAACGTATTAAAGTCCACTGCTAAACAGGCCTTCTTCATAGATTATCTAATAGGGGAGACATTAATCAAGTTTGACACGCTTGGCAAACTTATCGACAACCACAGTTAATTTTTTATTTTTAGTCGTTACTATGAAGATGCTGCTGTCCATCTCCATTTTGTTTAATTAATTTATTTATTCATGCAGCATTTTTGTTGTTATTTTTTCCGTTCACATGTTACACCCTATTTTTCATCATCAGACAGTAAGGAAGGTCATCTAGTATTAAAAATCAATAACGATTCGCTAATGAATTAACTTAGCCAAATCAGCTTATAGCAGTCCCCTGCTGCACATATATAAGTCTCTTCTGCTTCACTTGACCCGGTCATGAATAAGACCGGGTCAGGTGAACCTAGATGTAGGCAGTCGTTTGTAATCATTTTAGCCGACTGATTCAATATTTTGTTTTTAGCCCTGTAGGGTAGTGTATCGCTGGTAGAGCTGGTATATTTGTGTTTTATATATAAACATAACATAACATAAACACTCACGCCTGTCACCCAGAGGAGTAGGCAGAGACTACAGACTTCCATTTGGCACGATCCTGACACACCTCTCTCGCCTTCTTCACATCCATACACCTACGCATACATGCTCGTCGGTTAAGGGTACTCCTAATTTGGCCCGTTTTCAATAAATCGCCAATTTAGTCGATAAATTTTTGCCTAGGACGTCCCTTTCCGACTCTGCCATTCACTTCTGCAACATAAATTTTTTCTTTTGTTTTATATATTTATGTTTTTATATATAGTCATGTATATATTATCGCTATGGGTCAAGGTTTTTAATATCAAGTCCTTGATGTCTGAAATAAAGTTATTGTATTGTGTTGTAACATAATTCACGTGCTGATTATGATATGGTGAAGAGAAACACTTTTCTCTTGTTGTTTTCAGGCGAAACCCCCTCAGCCGGGAGAGCCGTCATACGAGCTGTGGCTGAAAGAGAAGACTGCCGTGCTGTCGTCCCTCAACAAGAGAGCTAAGATGATAGCCGACGTCTTCAACTCCATGCCGGGCTTCACTTGCAACGTTGTCCAGGTAACCCAACATGTTGTACTGGCATAGTATATGCTCTTATTAGAATATTTTGATATTGCACGGACTCAGTGGCGCAGCTAGGGCTCCAAACTAGGGCAAGCCCTAGATATGGTTTTGTTGTTTTTAGCAGTTTTATAAAAATACACCAATTTTGATCTGTCTGTTCTGTCGAGGAAGTGTTTAACAAAGCACACAGAAGGCATACTACCGCTAGATAGGTTGTATGACCGTAGAATCAATCAATTTTCGTTCGATAAAATGACTTCACCTATAGAATTAAGTAGATGGCGCTATTAAAATTTTATATACTGAAGACTAAAGGAAATATTTTTTAAAAACCTCAATACATGATGTATTCATTTAATTTATTAAATTAAAATTTGGGCTTCACATTTAAAAAAAGATTGTAACAATTATTTGCTATAAAATTAAACTTATACCTAGGTATCTCATATTTTATGCTGCAGTTCAAAATAATATTTTTAACTCATATGGTAATATAAGTATTGAGTTATTAAACCTTTAAATACGTCTAGAATAATTAAACTTTAATACTAAAGAGCCCTGTACCTATTAAAGTGTGAAGAAATGTTTATTGGATTAAAATTTTATTTTTAAAGATTTTACCTTTTCCTCGCTGATTATCACTTTAAGACACTTATATTCATCACAAAGAACACTCTTTTCCTCCATTTTCACTAAAATTCTTTAAAAAAGTATAAATTTTCAACGCACAATATTTTACATTCGCTCAAGCTAGCACACAATGTAAACATTGAAATGTGACGTGAACTTGCAAACATATCGTAGGCGTCGCCCGCGCGCCTCCGTGTCTAAACTAACTTCATATCTAACGTGACCATACGTCCCCCTTTAGGCAGGACGTTCCCGATTTAAAGGTTTGTGTCGCGCTGTCCCCAAAATACGTAAAAATGTCCCGCTTTGACAAACGGGTTTATAGTTACGTGATTATTCTGAAAAGCTACACTTTTGAATTTAAAGTTACGAAGTGCCAATTTTTAATTAATCTGCAATAAATTATCAAATAACGTAAGTTATTTCCAATTAGTATTTATTTGATGTTCAGAATTCACTTTAGATCATTAAAAGATTCAAACAACTATGTGTTTTATTTATAAACCTATATTAAAGGGCTTCAGATTGAATTGTGGTAACAAGGCCATTCTCAACGGAAAATAGCCATCTGCGCATCTGGATTATGTTGCCCAAGTGTAATGCTACTGAGAATTTTGTGACAGAAAAACCCAATAAATGATTCTTGACCCGACTCAGGTTTCGAACTTGGGACCACATGATCAGCAATTGCGTTTACGACCATTAGACCAAGAAGGCAGTCAAAAGTGTTAATAATTTTAAAGGCGTCCCGCTCTGAAGAAAAAATTGATGGTCACTAAAAAGCCGGGCTTTTATCTCCATACTAATTGCTATTTATACAATCGTAGTTATGTTTCATTATAGAACATTTTGCCACAGGTTAGAAAAGGAGCGATCGCCTTCTCGAAAGCCCGGTAAAAAGTCCACGTGTGCGAGGGAGACAACCAATGGCTCAATTCAACTCTCCTTATATGTATGACAGCAGTATTCCTAAGGCTACGAGGTCGCATAGAGCGTGCGGGAAATTTGAAATAGTTTGAAACAGTTTACGAGTTATTTTATTACTTGATATTATTGATTGATTCAGCTTGATAAGGCAAGCTGGGCTTCTGGGATTGTATGGAGGCTTCGCCATTGCACAGAGTTATGTTCTGCGAGAACAAAAGGTTGTTTATAGAGTATGTTTTTATAAATTACAATTTACTATTTTTTTAAGTAATTGCTAACTTAGCTACAGCGATTGAGCGAAATTTTAAGAATTTTATCTCGTTTAATTTTAACTATTTAAAAGTTGAAGATAGCTTTTATAAATAATAACATCAGGATGTCAAATATCCAAATATCCGTCCGTGGTACCCGTGGTAATGGTGGGTAAAACCACAGGTGCTATAAAGTGCTCGAAACGTTGGGGATTAAAAAAGTTAATGAATGTTTTTTCTATGTTTAGTATTCGCGTATACATAAGAAATCACAATTTAGACTGTCATCACTATACGCAATTATTCACATTATGTTGAGTCAGTACCCTTTTCAGTACTACGTCACTCATGCGATCAGATTATTTTGTCTGATTTTTTCTTATTTTTTTCATTTATTTATCACATGAACAAGCATTACAAATATTTATAGTGATAGCATTTAAGAAACCACTAAGGTTTATACCTGAGCACTTTACTTTACCCATATGACGATGTGGGTGCTGTGAAGTGCTATATGCTCCTCACCCCCGGGACCATGGGTGCTGTTAATTGCTCGAAACGTCAGAAATATAAAAAAAGTAATATACGCGATAAAATCGGTAAAAACTAGAAATATTTAAATAGCGTAACATTGTATCGTAGATAAAAGGAAAAAAAAATGAAATAAACACACAACAATCAGAAAAAAAATGAAAGAACACGTTATAATTTTAAAAAAGTGATCCTTTGTTTACAAATGTTATTTTTAGTTTGATTTATTTTTGTGTTTGATGTTTTATATTATACCATTTCTATGTTATGTATTAAAACTGTGTTAGTGTAAGTTGTTAATTGTTAGTTGTTTGAAAAAAAATACGTGTGGCACTCGGGGACTGCGGCGGTAAAGCTATTACATAGCATTTTTATCAACTTATGCAATTGTAATTATTTATTTATTTTATTTATGCAGTATTTTTTTTCTTTGTTACCAAAAATGTTGCTCTCTGCGGGAATCGAAGCTGTGATCCGCGACGCTGCATTCGGGTGGTTCAGTCATTGCGCCAAACGTGCCATCAAAAATAATGTATAAATTTAAAAAATATATTTAAGTATAAAGTGTGTGTTTATTAAATACTCTAAATTCACGAAAGTTGCTAGCATGACGATGACTCATATAAACCCAAAGAATACGCTTCTTGCAATAAACTATATTATTGTTTAAAATATTTTTATTATCTTAAAATACTTACATGCAACTAGTGTACACGCATACGTCTAGTATCACGCACACAAACACCGTGCCGAAGTCTGCCGAACTGAAACGACGTTAGACGATGTTAGGTTTTGGGGTCTTAGGTTTATTTTCGTTACGGAATTTCTTGATTCGGTTGCCGCGCTCAAAGCCTGCGATAAAAGCTATGCAATAGCTTAAAAATCCAAACGGTGAAGCTGGTATTAAGGTGGTCTTCCTGTAAAATATGAATAAACAAATAAATGTGCTAATGGAACGTTAATATTTAGTTAACATTTAAAGTTTAAACATCGTTAGCAGTTTGTTTAAAAGTCGCATTGTATTGCAGGGCGCGATGTACGCGTTCCCGCAGATCGAGATGCCAGCGAAGGCTATCGAGGCCGCGAAGGCGGAAGGCAAGGTGCCCGATGCCTTCTACGCGTTCAAACTGCTCGAGGAAACTGGTTTGTAATCATTGTTTTGTTTATATACACACAAGCTATAACTAGTGCGTTATAGCTTGTGTGTGCTTTTCATCCTCTTGGGGGTTGAATTTTTCAAAATCCAAAAAATCCTAAAAGTGTGTGTATACATCGAGAAAGGTGTAATGTTTTTCTAGTGTATGTTTGTATGTATGCGTATTTCTTTGGCACAACCTGTAGCGTAAACCACTTGATGAATCTTAACATACGGGGTGTCTTTAGAATCGTCTTTATTGTACAAGTGATATAGGATACAAAACTTTTCTTCTTTCAGTAAACTTTTTAACGCAGTTGGGTTTTTTATGTACTGTTTTAACCTTTGGACTATTTTTTGAAGTAATAATAATAATGTTACGAGCTTAGGGTTCGTGACAATAAAAACTGCCGATTGAATTGCCAAAATTTACACTTTTATTACTGAATATCAATTAAAACTGAAATCACGCTAATAATTAATCACACTTCACACTTTAGTTCACTTTATTTCGCTCCGAAAGCTTCGCTCGTATCGCCAATTCAATAATGCCCCGGTGGCGGGCTTAAACGCCTTTATATACGCCTTTTTCACCGATACATCCAGAATATTCCAGCAAATATCGTCCCCCGATCGACCAGGTGCCGAAAGTTCGAGTGTGGAGCTTTCCAGAAAGCGTAGTTCTTTTATTCGATATTAGATGGCGCTGTTGGTTGAAAGTTCCAGCATGGCATTTTCTGGAAAGCTCTCTTCGCTCTGTTCCCTGACACTAGGTGGCGCTAGTGCCAGGTACCAGACATCAACTTAGGCGCGCAACAATAATAACACAGTATAAGAAAAACATACAGTAGGACGACGCCTTTGATCTCGTGGTAAATGCCGACAACGTCTAGACAGCGTATAGAGGTTAGGGTTGTCACAAATTAACAACTTTTACTAATTTCATTATTTATTTTAGATCTACATCGTGATCAACAATATGATTACTAATATAAAGAATAAGTAATAATTTGTTCTTACATTTTTCCTGAAAGTACTCAAAACGCTAATTGCACGCCTCCCAACGTGAGGGAGTGCTCTACTCTCGATATGTACTACCTAAAAATATACTCTTAGCTAGACATCAAATCCATATATATATATATATATATATATATATATATATATATATATATATATATATATATATATATATATATATACAACATGTAACATAATTAACGCACTTTGAGAAGATTCCTATCATTTTAATATAGGTAATTTTTTGTCCCAAAAATTATTAAAACTACGTAAATTACAGTCACACTAAATGTGAAAACAAACTGAAATGGACCGTAACTTAAAGCAATAATACTTTTAAGAGTGCAGTTTTATTTGTATTATTAGATACTAATTCTGTCATTCAATAAAAAAAGATGAACTTTATTTCAAGCGCGTTAAAGTCTTTGCGTTCGTGGATTTGTACTGTGACCACAACATTCTCCCGGAATTAGTATAACTAATTTGACAAATAATCAGTGCATAAAAATGTTTAACTAAAAATTCAGTGTATGTATTATGATTATAACATAATATACTAATTGGGGTGTCTGAGGGTGTGCGTTAATTACGTTACATATTGTATTTATATATATATATATATATATATATATATATATATATATATATATATATATATATACAATGACTACAGACATTGAATTATTGGTTTATTTTATAACTGATTCACTTTAGATTACACAACAAAAAATGTAATTGAAAAAATATATCGACTGCCGTCCGTTTGTCTATGCGTCTGTGAGTCTTCTCGCTTAATAGAAATGTAAGTGATAAATTGAGGTATATAGTATTAAATAAGATTCCATATATTCTAAGGAGGGTCCTTGTTGATTTTTGCTATTGAACTGAACACCTTTTAAAAGTTATTTATTTTTTTCATCAAAATTAAATGAAACGCTTATGAGGCGTGCACTTTGGATTTTCCATTTTTTTTTGCGCCCAGAAGCAATTAGAAAGGGCTACCCCGTTACGCGCCGTTACGCGAGGAGGTGGTGAATCCTTTATGCAAACCACGACAGCCGGTCCGAAATTGATACACATATCATATTATTAAAAAAATGTCCGCTATCTTGGATATGAAAATGGATGCCGGTTTCGTAATAAGCACCCCAGGAAACCCCGAAATTGATACCCATATCATATTATTAAAAAAAAATTCCGCTATCTTGGATATGAAAATGGATGCCGGTTTCGTAATAAGCACCCCAGGAAACCCCGAAATTGATACCCATATCATATTATTAAAAAAATGTCCGCTATCTTGGATATGAAAATGGATGCCGGTTTCGTAATAAGCACCCCAGGAAACCCCGAAATTGATACCCATATCATATTATTAAAAAAATGTCCGCTATCTTGGATATGAAAATGGATGCCGGTTTCGTAATAAGCACCCCAGGAAACCCCGAAATTGGTACCCATATCATATTATTAAAAAAATGTCCGCTATCTTGGATATGAAAATGGATGCCGGTTTCGTAATAAGCACCCCAGGAAACCCCGAAATTGATACCCATATCATATTATTAAAAAAAATTTCCGCTATCTTGGATATGAAAATGGATGCCGGTTTCGTAATAAGCACCCCAGGAAACCCCGAAATTGATACCCATATCATATTATTAAAAAAATGTCCGCTATCTTGGATATGAAAATGGATGCCGGTTTCGTAATAAGCACCCCAGGAAACCCCGAAATTGATACCCATATCATATTATTAAAAAAATGTCCGCTATCTTGGATATGAAAATGGATGCCGGTTTCGTAATAAGCACCCCAGGAAACCCCGAAATTGATACCCATATCATATTATTAAAAAAATGTCCGCTATCTTGGATATGAAAATGGATGCCGGTTTCGTAATAAGCACCCCAGGAAACCCCCGAAATTGATACCCATATCATATTATTAAAAAAAATTTCCGCTGTCTTGGATATGAAAATGGATGCCGGTTTCGTAATAAGCACCCCAGGAAACCCCGAAATTGATACCCATATCATATTATTAAAAAAATGTCCGCTATCTTGGATGTGAAAATGGATGCCGGTTTCGTAATAAGCACCCCAGGAAACCCCGAAATTGATACCCATATCATATTATTAAAAAAAATGTCCGCTATCTTGGATATGAAAATGGATGCCGGTTTCGTAATAAGCACCCCAGGAAACCCCGAAATTGATACCCATATCATATTATTAAAAAAATGTCCGCTATCTTGGATATGAAAATGGATGCCGGTTTCGTAATAAGCACCCCAAGAAACCCCGAAATTGATACCCATATCATATTATTAAAAAATGTCCGCCATCTTAGATATGAAAATGGATGCCGGTTTCGTAATAAGCACTCAAAGAACCTCGAAATTGATACTCATATCATATTATTCAAAAAATGTCCGCCATCTTGGATATAAATATGGATGGAGTTTTCGTAAGCATCACCCCAATAAACCTTGAAATTGACATCCATATCCTACATATATAAAAAAATGACCGCCATCTTGGATTTAAAAATAAATGCTATTTTCGTAATTAGCACACCGACAAACTTAAAAATTTACATTGAAATAATACTAGTTTTTATGGAATTTATCGCGTAAATTTAACTTTTTAAATACCCGACGTTTCGAGAGCTTTACAGCACCCATGGTCACGGGAAGGACTGAGATGTTCAACGTCCAAGATGTCATAGTTAACCGCGTTTACCATAGATTAAAATTTAACTTTTGTTCCGATCTACACAGTATGAACTTATGGTATCATGAAGTCTTGCAGTTGTATGCTTGGGTTGGCATTTAATTTTATTTATTATAGTATCCCAAGCAGATGGTAGCACTGAACCATCTTCTCTATAGAAATTAGGATGTTTTTTGATTTCAATAGCCTCGCGAATCATCCTTGGAAGGAATCGGTGTTCTTTAGCGAGGATCTGCGGTCTATCAAATCTGATGTAGTGACGGGGGCGATCCTGTACGTGTTCACAGACTGCAGACTTCCCGGAGCGTCGATTCTTCACATCAGCTATATGTTCTTTAACGCGGGTTTTAATTGATCTTTTAGTTTGTCCTATGTAGGAGAGACCACATTCACAATCAAGCTTGTACACTCCTGCATCTTGCAGAGGGACGTTACACTTGACTGATGGTAAAAACTGGCCAATCTTCTTCGGCGGCTTGAAGTATGTTTTGATGGAAGAGCGCTTCAAGATGTAGCCAATCTTGTCAGTGACTCCTCTAACATATGGCAGTACAGCAGGTACACGCTCGACTGTGGCCGGCTTCACTCGTTCTCTGTGACGTAGGCGCGGGACTCGAAGCTTGTTGTCATGCAAAACTTGCTTGACGTGTTGGAGCTCGACAGCCAGGTGTTTACTGTCACAGATCCCTCGTGCTCTCTGAAACAAAGATTTACCCACGGTAGCTAACTGTGAAGGATGGTGGTGAGAATCACCGTTTAAATATCTATCTGTATGGGTCTTTTTTCTATACACAGTATGGCTCAATCTCATGATATGGTAAATCAAAATCAATGATATGGTAATCAGGAAATCTGGACGTAAAATGGATAATATGATAATACCTACGTGCGCCAAATCACCAAAGTTGTATGGGTTACCAAAAATACACAAGCCCAATGCTCCATTACGTCCCATAGTGAGCCAAATCGATTCACCAACTTACAGATTGGTTCAACACTTAACGAAAATACTCTCACCGCTCAGGGGACATACAAGAGCACACATAAAGTATTCCTAGCATTTTGTCAGCGAGATTAAAGACCTACGTCTGGCAGACAATGAAACTATGGTCAGTTTTGATGTGCAGTCATTGTTTACATGCTTACCTGTTGAAGACTGCATCTCAATTGTAACTAGAAGGCTGGAAGAAAACAACATGCCCGTAGAATATGCAGTATTACTCAGATACTGCCTTACATCTGGCATCTGCTTGGGATCCTATAATAAATAAAATTAAACCCCAACCCAAGCATACAACTGCAAGACTTCATGATACCATAAGTTCATACTGTGTAGATCGGAACAAAAGTTAAATTTTAATCTATGGTAACCGCGGTTAACTATGACATCTGGACGTTAAACATCTCAGTCCCTCCCGTGACCATGGGTGCTGTAAAGCGTTCGAAACGTCGGGTATTTAAAAAGTTAAATATACGCGATAAATTCCGTAAAAACTAGTATTATTTCAATGTGTAGTGTTCGCGTAAATATAAGAAATCATTAAAAATTTACCCCTAAATCTTAATATTTTATAAAAAAAAACTTCGAAAGACCGAAGACGAGGCACTATAGTATGGTCTAAAACCTTAGCCTGTCCAACCACACGATTTAGATGAAGAAAAATCAGTAATGCCCAGCGACTATATAGTACCTATTTTTTACGTCCACCATTTCTTTTACGTTGGCTATTTGGCATGACATGACAAAATATACATTATGTAAAAAAATAATAACAATATTTATTTACCTTTCTTCGGTGTGCGGAATTTGGTGAAATCGCAGATATTTATTTATGCGAGATGACGACTTGCAATCTCTCACAGCACACGTCGTATGAACCATTTTAATTATAACCTTTCAGCTGCGGAGACTCTAACCGTAATTCTCCGTTGACTGCGGAGCTGTTTAATAAAATGGACGGCTGATTGGGCCCAATCCGTTTAAACGCAAATATCTTGATTTTGGTATATCGAATACTATAATATGTATACATTATTACTCGTTTATAGGAAATTCTCTATGAAATTTCCTATAAACGAGTACATATATTTAATAAAGTTTAAAGTGGTTAGTATAACTAAATATAGAATAAAGTCAAGACTATCATATTTCTCAATGACACAAAGTTTTTTAATAGTTCAATTTTATTTTATTTTAATCTTACGTCTATTGTTTACAATATTTTATGTGCAAAATCATAGGCTACAATATAATTTTTTATCGTAAAACGCATTAATAATAAGCTTACAAGAACCCACAATCAATTTACACCGATGTAGCATGTAGTTCGGACCAGATGCGGCATAATGCGGCGTAATGCTTTAGTCAATAAAAATAGTTTTTTTTATTTCATTACAATGAATCAGTCTTGAATCTCTCTTTTTCTTTACATGATTCAGTCATCTTTCAATAGGTCTTGCTAAGTTTTAGAAATCCGATAAAGTATTTCATAAGTACTCTTAATGCCGATATCAAAATTTTAGTCGTAAGTGCCATATTTATTGAAAAATTAATTACTTTATTTGAGCAAACAAACTTTAACAGCACTTGTACAGAAATAAAGATTCATTTATTCCTTTAAAAACCATAAAACCACTCAAGAGTCACTCCCGCTGATGTAGAGTTATAAATAACGTTTTTTGTAAACAATTACCCAATGCACCATAATATGTGACAGAGGCGCCGCGAGGTGCGCAGCGGTTATGTTACATTTCCAATAACCAATAACATTATTTCTCCAAACGGTAACATATTTCCTTTAACACAAACAATAGCTACGAAATAATAAAATTTAAAATAAATATATCTCTTTCTGAAATAAAAAAAATATTATTTATGTATATTTTTAAAGAACCCACTTCTTATGCATTATACAAAAATATGCCACAATTAAAGTTCGATTCTGCACTTGTTTGTGCATCATGTACTAGTTCATTAAAACATTTTTTATACGTGGTCGAGCCATGCTGCAGTTATATTAGTAGTATAGTTGTAGCACGAATAGGCCGGCTCGACCGGGGAAGGACCACGCTCTCACAGAATACCAGCGTGAAATCATAGCTTAATGCTTCTGTGTTTCGTATGGTGAGTGTAGAGAACGGGCGAGCCTTTTTGCTGGAAACGAGGCGTTCCATCTTAGTCCTCACGGGTGACACGCATTTTTGCATTTTGATTTGTAATCGAGGATAGATGTAGATGTCTATGGGCCGCAGAAACCACCACAGATGGACTGCGTGCTCGTTTGTCACCCTATCCTATAGAAAAAAAAACATACAAAATAAAGAGGTGTATTCATTTCAACGATGAGAGCCGTGGTGGCTCGGAAGAGCCGTGGTAGCTCAGATGGTTAGCTCTCGCTGTAAATTTCATAGTACGCTAGCAAGCCGGGTTCGATCCCCGCTAGCAATAATGAAATTGTTAATTGCAATTTTAAGTGCTGATCTACCACGTGCTTGGCGGTGAAGAAAGACATTGTGAGGAAACCTGCACGTCTGTGAAATAAGAAAAAAAATATTTCGAAGACATGTGAAGTTCGCCAACACGCATTGGGGCAGCGCGACGGAAACTTCTTTGCCTTTGCCCAGCTGTGGGGCGTAAAAAAGGCTGTAACTTAACTAATTTAAGTATTTATTTCGACGATGAGAGCCCTGGTAGCTCAGATTGTTAGCTCTCGCGTTAAATTTCAGAGTACGCTAGCACACCGGGTTCGATCCCCGCCGGCATCAATGAAATTATTAATTACAATTTTAAGTGCTGATTTACCTTTGCTCGGCGGTGAAGAAAAACATCATGAGGAAGTCTGACTGTCTGAGAAATAAAAAAAAATATTTCCAAGGCATGTGCAGTTCGCCAACACGCATATGGGCAGCGCGGTGGATACTTCTTTGCCGTAAAACTCTTTCAGAAGTGAGGGAAGGCTTAGCAGTGGGACGGAAATCGGCTGTGTAACTTAACTAACTTAACAATTTCGACGATGATAGTCTGAAATAATTAGCTGAACAAATTATAGCTAGGCAACAATAAAAACTAAATGGATGGATGGACATAAGTATAAAATTGAATTAATATATAACATAGGTACTTATTTCTTTAAAAGGCTTCTGGTACTTGTTGGATTTACTGTATCCACAGTACAATTCATTTACGAATGGTACTGTAGGTAGCAGCTTGCTCTAGGTTGAAACATAACGCAACGTTACACGATTTGCAAAGTAAATACAGATAAAATGTACATTAAAAAAACCAGTATAAGAAATATGTGTCTGAGGTGACCTTAAAAACCACAACCTGTTCATATTAAATTAAAAAAATAAAAATTTCAAATATTAAATATTAAAAAATATTAAAATAAAAATATTAAAAAGCATATTATGTAAATACTATGTAACTTTCTGTTTTAATAAATTGTTTAAAAAATTCCGCAGTCTTGTGTTAACATACATGACATATCCAAATGCCACATTCAATTTTTTATAAATCATCGAATAATCGTGGAGTCAACCAAGCTCGTTTCGTTCTCTGCTCGAGGGCGCTAGATTCTTTACCATTCTAACCATTCAACCGACTTTGAATTTGATGCGGTATGGCAAACTTTAGTTCCTTTTTTCGCCACCCGCAAAACAGAGAACTAGAATTCACTACTGCGGACGTCTCAAAAATGGACACTACTGCACCTATTGCGTATATACATTAAAATTTTGAAAATATTGCACTTTATCTACATTTTGATGTACTAAAACTGTGAACGATGAACAATTATACATATTTTAACACAAAACTGACAGTCAACACTAAAATTTTACGTACATTTCAAGTCAACTCTCGTCAACCAGCATGTTAGTTTTAAGATAGCAGTTTGCTTCATACATATTAAAAAACGATTTTACACGTACTTAATAAGATAAAACACAAAATGAGATTACAAATAAGAAGATTACTTACCCAGGCATTGTTTTAACACAGTTCACCACACAATAAATATAAATTAATACAAAATAATTACAAACAACTTCGTTGTTAGCGCGCGTCAATCACACTAATGGCTGACTCAAGGAACGGACGACATTTAAGAATGATTTAAATAAAATATACTACTAAAGTGTATAAGCTGTGGGGTTTATATGTTAGCCTTTTTTATCCTGTACACATTGACATATGGTAGAATGAGTTAGAAATAGCGCATAATGCTTTGTTTCTTCATTAAAAGAGCGGTTAAAAAATGTCTAACACTTGGACGCCCGCAGTCAACGGAGATATTTTCGTGTCCAAGTCTTGGACATCCGCAGTTGAGAGGATAATTATCAACACTAAATTTAAAAATTATAAAAGCAAGCGCGCGTTAACCCTGGAAGTCGTGTCCCGAGCTACTAATACGATTGGCATAAGCAGATCGGGCTCGTCCTTCCCGCGTCTCACCCCGCACACCCCGCACGATTGCCCCGTCTAGACGTCTTCGTCCGACGACTGTATGGATTTATAGACTGTGATAATAATATATAATTTTTTTTATTTTCTCTTCACAAAGGTATAAAATTTCACAATAATACTTAAATAATATGGTTGTAGACAATTTTGACCTTTGTGAGAGGCTGGTATACATACTAGGATAAACCCATCCCTGTGTTATAGATCACCAGGCAAGTGAAAGCTTCTTTCGGCACATTGGGCACTTTGGTGCAGCTACGAAGTTTTCAGTTCTGACATGCAGTCCTACGACTGAGTTTTATTATAGAATAAGTGTGACCAACGAGCACACAATCCACTTGATGGTAAGTGGATGCTATGACCCAAAGACATTTACATATATCCTCGATTAAGAAACAAAATGCACATGCATTGCCACCCCTGAGGACTAAAATAATACCTCGTTTCCTGTAAAAAGGGTCTCCTGTTCTCTTTACTCATCATATGAAAAACAGCGCAGCATTTTTTTGCTGCTATTAAGCTGCTATTTTACGCTTAATTCTGAGAGTGAGGTCCTTCCGACGAGCTGACACATTCGTGGTACAACTATATATTTGCAGGGTGGCTCTTCCACGTAGATAAAAACATTTTATAAAAAAATACAAGTTTAAAATATTTAAAATAAACTTATGTAATACAATGTTGTAAAGAAAAGTTTAAAATGTGACACAGGCATCTGTATCGTGCCGGGTTCCGGGTTCGGGCAGAAGCCCGGCACCTTCCACTTCCGCACCACCATCCTGCCACAGCCAGAGTTGCTGCAGCAGATGCTGGACACCTTCAGAGATTTCCACGCCAAGTTCACTGCAGAGTACGCCTAGGAATCATCTGCCTGCCTACATTACACCCACGCTAATATTTTAGTTCTATTTATAATACATAATTTTACAAATGAAAAAATATACATTTTATTGATATTTTATTTTACACAATTTTGTATAAATAATTATACTACTCTACCTTTTTGCATAATTTCTCGAAATAAACACATGTTCGTTCGCATAAGGTTACTCAAATTAGAGTTGTTACATACGTTAAATTTAAGTTTGAGCGAATTATGATTTTTATGTCATGAGTTTTTATACTATTTAAACGCAATTATTATTTATAATAAAGAAAACGTTTAAACGAAAAGCACCCATGAAAATAAGCACTACATAATAGTTATAATTGTTGAACTTCGGCTTCTACTTATGTTACTTAAGTAAATTGTTTCGTACAATTGTAGGCAATGTTAAATTTATGTTCAGTTACATTACCTCAGACCAACAAAGAAATATAGATATCGCGCTTCATACGTTTTACGAAACGTTGCTCCACGTCGATACGCACACATCTTGATCTTTTTTCTTTTACAGCCTGTGATTACAGGCTGTGGGGCTGCTATCATTTTGAAGCAATTTTTAAACTCGGATATTTTATCAAACACCAAATAAAGAACGATAGAAATACTACGTCCATTTCAAGGGCCGGCGAATTCATACTCAACTTTTCTTTTTTTTATCAGCCCATAGAATTTTATAGCTGCATCTAAAACCATTTAATTGATCGTATATGATTTTAGATGCATATATGTACGTGAGTGCGTGTTCTTACAATAGGTTTGGCGTGATTGTGGTTTGGTGTTTATAACGCTCCGTATTTCTTTCTTGGTGTGAGATAATGTTATACATTTTTAAAATGAAATATAAACATGTCGATTGCAGCTAAATTTAAACTTTCTCATGATATATGTATGATAACAACACGTGATATTTTATATTATTATTTATACATTAATTTTTTGCTATACCGCATTGTTAGTAATAAATATACATACTGCTATATTAAGTAGTGAAATATTAATCTACTCACCAAACATCTCTTAAATCAAATTTATTTTTAATACACGCATTTAAATCTTTGTTATCTTTTTTTGCTTTACACCTATAAAACCTGTTTTATATGTTTTATTATGTATGTCTAGTCTAGGCCGTGCCATTGTGTTGTTTCAGTGCCGTACAAAAATTGTGCTAAATTTATATTTTTTGTTATTTATTTTCTTAATATTACTACATTTTTATGTCTTTTTATATTGATACTCAATTCGATAAGAAAACAAAATGAAATATCTACGCATAATTTATTTTGTATAAATAAATACGAATAATTTTGCATTATAATAATATTAAACGTGATCCTGTTTCTACTTTCAAAATTCGGTTTGAACAGTGTTGCCACAATGATATTTGTAGAAAATAGCGCCTCTTTATTAAAATAATGTTTTAATTAGGTATGCTCAAAGCAGTAATAGAAAGCTTAATTTTATTGACATTCCCTGTGTAAAAGAGATTTTGTTTAAATTGTTACAGTTTGTTATTTTAAATCATTAAAAATTAAAGTCAAAAGTAACGCAGTTTCATTGGTTTGGATTATGATTTTTTAAACCCATGTCCTTTTATTATTATTTCAATTACTTCAATGGAGATTATCATTATTTTGAAGTCCACTGCATGTTCATCTCAAGACCTACCCGTTTGGAATCTCTACTGAAGTCGTTGGACAAAGTACTAAGGTCGTCCAAGGAACCTGCCATAATGGCTATATTGCATAGACTTATTATACTGCTGCGTATGGACCGGGTCATTGAACAAGCAAAATGGCACCGACTCGTTGGTGCGAAAATGTATATAGAGTACCAATGCGTGGCGTGCGTCCGCGTCTAATTGATCTATTAGAACCCGCGTGAAAGAACACATAGCTGACGTGAAGCATCAACGTTCCGGGAAGTCTGCAGTTTGCGATCATATCCTAGATGGCCCCAACTATTACATCAGATTTGATATATCACAAATCCTCGCGAAAGAACACCGATTCCTACCAAGGATGATACGTGAGGCTATTGAAATTAAAAAAAACATCCTAATTTCAATAGAGAAGGAGGCTGGGTACTACCACCTGCTTGGGACCCTATAATTAATAAAATTAAAACTAAACCCAAGCATACCACTGCAAGACTTCAAAATACAGTTAGTTCATTCTGCGTAGATCGGACCAAAGACAATAATTAAAAAGCTGAAGGTACTCCGTGTTAACTTCACTGACTCAAAAAGTTAACTTGGACGTCAGTCGCCTCAGTCCCCCGTGACCATAGGTGCTGGAAAGCAGAAAGCACCCGAAACGTCGGGTATTAAAAATATAATAAATAAAACGCGATAAAATGCGTAAAAGTTCTTTTAATCAAGGGATTTGGATAGTTTAAAGGTAAAATCAAACTTCAGGTAACCCTGGTTTTTATACCTACCCAATGTAATTTTTTAAGATTTATCGAAGGGATTAGGGTCAAAACAGCTAGAAAAGTGTAGAATCAAAAAGTTTTTCATATTGTATTCTATATTCATATGAGACGAAGTGTAATTATAATTTGAAAACGAGAACGTCTTCAGCACAAAACTCAAGATTTTAATCTAAATAAGTGAAATGATATTCAAACCTTACAGTAGTGATGTTGTTCTTTAAAATATTGAAAATTAGGTGCAATAAATAAGGCTATTTTGATTTTTTTACGATAATTTAGGGAGTACTTGTAGAGGTTCTAGGATAAACCAAAATCATAAATGGAAACACTGGTTCAGTGGTAGTTCATTAGTATTTAAGAGATGGCGCAGATTTATTCTATGCTTAAACCGTGAAAAATTTTTGTTTGCACGACCATATCTTGTCATTTATATCGATTGTCAGCAAAACCTCCCGACCTTTATTACATGACTACATTTAAGGTCACTAAGTTGCGATTGAAAAAGATATAGCCCAGCGAATAGGTATGCTGAAGTGGCAAATGACAGCTATATAAGCTTGTAATATAATATACTAAGCTTATATACTAGCCGTTTCCCGTGATTTCTTCGTGTAATTTATTACTATTGCACTTCATAGGTTTTTTTACGCGGAACCCTAATCGTTTTTCTAAAAGAAAAGTCGCGTAAGTTATTCCTTATAACATCAGCTATCTACCACTGAAAATCCTGTCAAAATCGGTCAAGCGATTTCGAAGATTAGCCGGAATAAACAGACAAAAAATGTTTTTGTTACAAGTACTGTACTTGTATATACCTTCATATGCGTTTAGTAAGATAAGCTGTATTTTGAAATTACCAACAGACACTTCATTTTTATTTATTTGTATAGATTCATTCATTAATCACAGCCTTTTATAGTCCACTGTCGTACCTCCATATAATAATTAAATATTTATATATTTATTTTATAGAATTAGGTTGGCAAACGAGCACACAGTCCACCTGATCTTAAGTAGATTCTGTGGCCCATAGATACCAACATTTAACCTCGATTAAGAATCAAAATGCAGATGCGTTATCACCCCTGAGGACCAAGATGAATTGCTTCGATTCCAGTAAAACGAGTCCATACGAAACACAGCAGTATGTATTAAGCTACTATTTTACGCGGGTATTCTGTGAGAGCGTGGTTCTTCCCCGGTCGAACCGATAAACCTTTCGTGCTACAAGCATATTATGGCTGCAGTGGGGCTCTACCACGTATAGTTTCACATTGGTAATTTAATAGTTTCTGAAACCGACGCTTTAATTCCGTAAATATATATTTAATACACTGTTTTAGCAAGCCGAAGATAATTGTTTTTTTTCCAAAGTTGCAGGATCGTCATGAGAGAATTTTGAAAAAATCGATCTTTTTTCGATTTGTTTTCTGACTCGTACAAAGTACAGATTACAAACGTAACTTACTTTTTATTTCTTTAATCCATTAAGAAAAGGCGAAAGAAACTAAGCATATAGCAGTTTTGCAAGTTTTTGAATAGAAAAACTGTCGTTTTTTTACGAGCTTGGGTAAATTCAACTAATTGTAAATAATTCTATATTTCTTATGACAACAGAAAAAATCGATTTTGATTTTCTGGGGTGAAATACCCATTCACTGGATTGATTCAGTACTATATCGATTAAAAATCGATCTTTTTTAGAACAAGAAATCGATTCTTCGATTAATCGATCTCAGATCGAGATGCATAATAAGAATATAAACTACCAAATTTTTTGTGTTGTAAAACGCGACAGAGGGAAACAAACCAGGAGATTGGCATTAGCATAAATACATAAACACTCACGCCTGTCACCCAGAGGGGTAGGCAGAGACTACAGACTTCCATTTGGCACGATCCTGACACACCTCTCTCGCCTCCTTCACATCCATACACCTACGCATACATGCTCGTCGGTTAAGGGTACTCCTAATTTGGCCCGTTTTTAATAAATGCCAATTTGGTCGATAAATTCCTAGGAAGTCCCTTTCCGACTCTGCATTCACTTCTCAACATCTTCTTGCACTAAGCATTCCTTTCTTAATCCTGGTCACAATATCATCTTGCAAACCACATTCTTCTCTTATTACACAATTTCTTACCCTGTCATTCAGATTCAGCCCTAACATACTCCTTAACGACCGCATTTCTACTGCGTTCATTCTACTCTCGTGCTTCTTCTGCCACACCCAATTTTCACTACCATACGTTAAAGTAGGGACCAACACAGCATTGTGAATTGCCATACGTGCCTTTTTCGACACATTTTGACTCTTCACAATATAGTGTAGGGCCCCATTTACTCTATTTCCCGCAATCACTCGTCGTTCTATATCCTTATCATATCTCCCATCCCTGCTAAATACGCAGCCCAAATATAAAAACTCGTCTACTTGCTCGATCAACTCCCCTTCTATTCTTATTTCACAAATCGTTTTACTTTCTTCTCTTTCAAAAACCATAACCTTCGTCTTACTTGCGTTCACTTTCATACCCCTTTCT